ACACCACCAGCAGCAGCAGCAGCCGCTGTCGCCGCCGCCGCCGCCTCCTCGGCCGCAAAATGCCCTCCGCGCCCCGCCGGCTGGAAGCATGAGCTGGTCTCTCTCCTTCTGCCTCCTCTTCCTCAGCCACCTGAGCCACCTCCTCGCTTGGGCGCCCAAGGAGACGCGGCCCCCGCGAGCGCAACTTGGAGACGCGGCTCTCCCGGGTGAGAACCCCCGCAGGAGCCGCCTCGGAAGTCCCCGGAATACCACTTCTTGGCCCTCTTCTTCTTCATCATCCTCTTCCTCCTCCTCCTCCTCCTCAGCCCCTTCGTCTTATTTTTCCCCCGCTGGGGAAGTTCAAGGCAGCGGCCCCGACAGGAGCAGCTTTCCGTGGACGCCTTCCGGACGCCGGACGGGCAGCCTCTACTGCCGGGTGGGCATCGGCTTCCACCTTCAAATTCACCCCGATGGGCACGTGAACGGCTCCCACCAAGGCAGTCTGTTAAGTAAGTGCCTTTGCCTCCTCCTCGCCCGGGCCGGTCCGCGTGGCGTTTTCGAGGGGGGGGGGTCGTTGACAGCTTTTATAAGAGTGCCTCCCTCCCTCGGTGTATGGATCCGCTGTGCGTGCGCGCGCGCGCGCCTCTGGATCAAACAGGATGTGTTGCGATTCACGGCAAACATGCTCTTTGCCCCGAGGGCCGGCTCGAGTTCGAGAGGGATCGCAGGGAACCGAGACGCAATCGGCATAAATGGGAACGTGGGCGGAAGGCTTGCGCTTCGAACTCGGGCCCCAAGTCTCTAGAGCCGCTCCAAACACCCATCGCAACGTGGCCGATCTTGCTGCTGTCTCTCACAGGGTGCTGACTTGCACCCCTAGCTGGGGAAAGTGTCACAGTTCGGCTGTTTCTCTTGGCTGAGATTGGGAGAGATGCCAGACAGCTCCAGAAAAGTTAGTACCCTGTTTGGGAAGAACGAGAGAGTTCAGGCTGTACCACTGCCAGTTGTGCCACCTAGGCAGTAAATTTCATCAAGAAAGAAAAGGGCTAGAGAGAGAAAGGGGGAGAGTTATAGCAATAATGCAGACAATAACATACAGTTTAAAATAGCCTAGTTTTTCAGTTGCCCCACCTGGTGTATTTTGGTTGGTTGGTTGGTTGGTTGGTTGGTTGGTTGGTTGGTTGGTTGGTTGGTTGGTTGGTTGGTTGGTTGGGTTGGGTTGGGTTGGGTTGGGTTGGGTTGGGTGAGGCTTTGATCCCGCTCCGCTTTATCTCTACCCTGTCCCACTAATAGCCCTACAGAGCCTTCCAGCTCCTTAAGAACAAGCAGGTTTTATTGTTATAAGCTTTTGCCAGGGATATCCCATTGCACCCCATGCCGGTGGGCTGTACAGTAGTTTGTAAAAACGCCCATACAAAGTAAAACTTATTCACCTTTATGGTACCACAGGACTGCAGGTGTTTTCATGGTCTGAACTAACATGGCAGATCCCACTCTACCTCACCCTTGGAAATGGTGACTTCTGAATCTCCATTATAGGTCTGCACTCTACGGCTGCAGTGTTCTGCTCTGGGGAACATGGTTTAGTCAGTCAGTGGCATAAAAACTCAGCTTGTATGGGACTACAAAGTAAAAGGCAGCAGCGTGAGACACAGTCTTGAAATAACACCCTTTTGTCAGTAGAAACTGTCCAATGTGGTCTGAACATTTCAAACGGAACCAAGTGTTTTAGATGTAACATCTCTTGGGGTAGAATGTGTGTGTGTGTGTTTTTAAAAATAATCATTGTATTCTTTCTATATGGAGCCATGTATATTGATGGCACTATGTGAGCAAGGGGTATCCCTTGAAATAACAATTAATAAATAATTGTTATTGAAATAACAATAAGTGATTCTCTGGGTGCTGAGATTGGTGGAAAACGGCAGCTGATAGGCCAAGAATGGCAAAGACTAGTTGATGTATCAGTTTAAGCTTTTTCCTGGATGCTCCCACTGTGTCTGGCAAATGGGAGCCTCATATATTTGAATGTCTCTCTCCATTCTAAAACTTTTCAGTTTTAATACTTGAGTGGTAAGGGAAAGCATTCAAATAGTTTTCCTGATATGGGGCTGAGTCCAGTGGTTAGATCCCCCCTGGAGTGGATGTATCGAACCAACTAGACTCACTTAATTGTGGATTTATCCACGTTGCAGTGATTTAAAACATTTGATCTAATTGGGATTAACCAGTGAATTTAGTCCAAGATGTATTATAAAAGAGATCGTCTGTAGCCTAACATAGGAGAAAGATTTGATGTAGCAATTAAGACTGTTTTTCTGGGATGGGACTTGAAATATTGGTCTATCCTAGAGGGGCAAGCTCAGAACGTGGTCCTGTGGAACGTCTGTCCAACAGCTTGGCCTTTGACTTGAGAAGCCTCCCATGGTTCGGTCTGTTTAACACATGGGAAACTGCTGGAGGAGGTTGTCCAGAGTTTAGGGATTCAGTAGGCCAGTTATTCTAGACCAGTGTCTGATGTCTGTAATAGACTGGACGGGAAGAACATCTGCAAGCTTAATCCACCTACTAAGATAGGTACTCCTGATCATTTGAAAGGCAGATCAGGAAACAGAGACCCTGTGCCAGATGGGGTTATACTCCTAGAAGATGCAGCTTTCCAGTTTGGTGCACTTCAGAATTCAGTCCTGAGCTTGGACACCCAGATTTAAGTAGCAGCAAAGATTCCATTTAATGGAGAAGTCTAACCTGACAGATGCCTTAATTATTTCTCACTTGGATTATAGCAAAGCATTCCACAAAGGCTGCTTTTGAAGAAAGTTTGGACATTTCAGATGGTCTAAATTGCAGCAACCAGAGTTTGAACTGGACCAATTATGAGGAGCATACAAAACCTCCTTTGGTAGCTGTAGGTAGGTCCTGCCGATCTATAGGGCTGTATCTCTCCATGTGAACTTCCTTGTGTTCTGAAATCTTTGGGGGTGGTCCTTCTCTTGGCTCTGCCACCCCTTAGGCACATCTGGTGAGGATATGGGACAAGACCCCTCCTTCTCTTGGCTCTGCCACCCCTTAGGCGCATCTGGGACAAGACCTTTTCAGTGGCTGCTCCCAGTCTATGGAACTCTCCTCCACTGTTTCTTCTCTGTTTTCCTTTGGCTGGCAAGAAAGAATTATCTCTTTGGTTAAGTGGTTGGCATCTCAGAGGGTTTCAGGGAAGACCTTTAAAGGTAGATGCTATACTGGTCTGATCTGTTTTTGAAATGTTTTAAATTGTTTTAAGATATTGATTCTTTAATATTTATGATCCTCGCAATTGCTTTTTAATAGTATAGCTTACTCTGCATTTTAAAAAAAACCATTTTGAAAGCTGCTGTGGATCCCTGCATAGGGAGACAGAAATAAAACAAATTAATAATAAATAAAAACTTAAGAGGTTGAGGAGCCACATATGCTGCCCTAACATTATAGGAAGAAAAGCTAAATAGAAATTAAGCAACCAAACAAAATTGCAGTAGTCAGTCAGTAGCCTGCGTGAGTTTAATAGTGTTGGGACCTTGCATCTTTGATTCATTTGCAACCAATTCTGTTCCAAAGAAAATGGGAATGGAAAGAGTAGTAGATTTAATACAGTGAATCTAATTTTGTGGAGGAGGTAGCATTTTCAAACAATGTTATAAACAATGCTATAATCTGGTTGCTGTGAGTTTTTTGGACTCTTTGGCCATGTTCTGAAGGTTGTTCTTCCTAACGTTTCGCCAGTCTCTATAATACTCGCAGTCTGCTATAATACTCTCTGCATGCATTTTTATGTGTGTTCTAGTCTCGTTTTTACTCTCCAGGATTTCCACAGATAGAAAATCCAGAACTAATGCTCCTGATTTAAAGTTTACCAAGAGCTTTAAGGATTTTTCTTGGGTGAACAAAAGAGAGGCAAGGATCCTTTGAAGAAGAGACAAACAGATGTCTCAACGTTCAGGAATTGCACTGAATTTCACATTTGCCAGACTTTTATTCCACCTCTGACCCATAGTGTACTTTTGTCAGGCGTAGTTCTCACTGACATGGCAACCTGGCACTCCACTTCAGGCTGCCACGGTGTAGGGGGTGAGGCTATCATGACAGGATGTTGCTCCTGTAAAAATGTATGAATGAACAATTCCTGTGTGTAAAGAATTATGTAATCTGTCCCCTTTCAGACCTGGACTGTAAACAGTGTGTGGCACAACAGGCTTAAAGGAAGGAACTGGGATTAAAAGGACTAACGCAGAGGCAAAAATCAAGACTGTAAATCGGAAGCAAACAAAACAAAAAAATAAATAAATGAAAGGAGTCAACAGTGTAGGAATAGGCCAGAAATTGACATCGCTTCAATGGTTTGAAATGAGGCAATTGCCTTATATAGATAATTTTCACAGATAAGGAAGAACAGCAAATGGACATCATCCCACCACCATCATTTTATGATCACGGCCCAGGGGAGAGGCATGCATGGAATTTTCTGCTCCAGTGCTAGGACAGGCGTAACACCTGACACAAACATTTTAACGAGAAAAACATTGACTCAGTAATCCTCAAATTTGGGAGCCCAGATGTTCTTGGACTAGAATTCCAAACAGTTGGGTTTTTTGTTTGTTTGTTTGTATAAACATAGAAATGGCATATTAAATGACCAAAGAGAAAAAAAGGGGGGGGAGCACAGTCTGCTTGAAGCTTAGTAGCTGTAAGCAGAGTTTCTCTTCAGAGTTATGTAGCCATTTCCGAAGTATTTTTTTTAGTGTGGATTAATCACTATCGCTGTAGTTTAAGAAGGTCCGTTGTAAGAATGGGAATGTATTTTTAGAACATGTATTTCAGAAAGGGAGGGGGTATACGCCGAGAGAAGAAACAATGAAATTTTGGAGTGAAAATGGATGGAAAGAAGTGTAATGCTAGTCCTGTGGGTGATGGGTGCACAAGGGTAATTTTATGTTATTGTATTGTTTTGTTTTGTATTTTATATAGTCTTTTTTTTCTGTAGTAGTAGGTATTTTATAATAATAAATTTATTAAAAAATTTTTAAAAAGAATGGGAATGTAGCATTTCTGAAGGCTCAGGTGAATTGTGGTAATCTTTTTCTTCTTCTTCTCACATTCTGAAATGCAAGCTTTTCACAGGCTGCATCTACCTGAGGGGATGAAATGAGGTCCTAAAAGTGACTTCATGAATAGCTGACCTCGTAGGTTAAGCAGTGAGCCTTGGTCTTAGATACCTTTCTCTGATGAGCATGTAGCCTTTTGTAAGGACCAAGTTCTACAAGTCGAACATAGCAGGCACTAAACATCTGGTTCCCAAACCTGAGGTCACATACATTCTTGTGTAGCCAAGTCCCAGAAGCACTAGCCAACACATCCTCAGGCTTTTCCTGATAAACCCACAGGCGTCTTTTCTCCGTAGTCCCCTCCATGCTGAATTCTTAGCCTCACACTCTTTCCTCCAGTGTGGTAGTGGGGAGGGCCCTATGAGCGAGGG